TAAATTGTAATTTTCTCATAGGTCCATAACAGCCAACATCCAGTGGTTGAGAAGTGACTTGTATGTGCAGGAAGTTAAACAATATGATGTTCCTGTCTCTTGCCCACTGGACAAGTCCTACAGAAGTGTGAGATTTATGCCCGTCCATCGAGAAGAATTTCTGACCATCCTTGATAGGGACATGCTTCAAAAAATGATCTAGGAACTCACGGAATAGCTGTGAATTGGACCATCCTGTCTCTGAGACTCTGCCTACTGCGCCTGGTGTTGCACCTTCCATTAACTCTGGCATCATTCTCTTCCCCGCAAATATGAAAAAAGGAGGAATTGCTGTACCACTCGCACTTCCACAACCAATCACTGTGGTGGTACTTGATTTACCTGCAGTGACAGCTTGAGGTGGAAACTGGTTACCACAGACAACAAAAGGAGGAGTGTGGTTCTGGGTAAATCCTTTTTCATCCACATTGTAAATTAGGTAGGGGTTCTTGTCAAAACCATTCTCTCTGATGACCTGTTCCAGTTCTTTGAAATATCTGTCAACAACAGGAACTGATGCACACTTTGCCCTGACAATTTCTAGACTCCGAGGCTTAAGGACTTTAAGTTCAGGCCACCTGCTCACGAATCCCCGAAACCACTTAGAGAGAATGGGTGCTGCTTATCTCTAATACCATTTTGGACTGCATAATCTGAAGCCAGGTCTACAACCTCTTGGCGAGTATATCCATAGCCATATTCTGCCATGACCTTTAAATGTTCAACAATATTAGATTCCTGGAGTGTATCTAACAAAGGACTCCTCCCACTCTAAACTGTTTTAGGATCAACATTGCCTAACACACGATCTCTGAGGGTTGCAATGGGCACATTGTATTGCCTTGCTGCTCCCATAACGGATTTTTTGTCAGTTTTTATCGACAGATATGCATTAGTAAGGGAAGTTAGTGAATACAATCTGTATTTAGACGACTTTTTCATAGGATTAGCCTACAAATAAGGTAAAACAATACATTAAGCCATTGAGTTTTTAATTCAAAATTCGAATCTTTTTTTTTCTTTTAAATAGAAAAATAGTTCTGATAAACTAAAAATAAAATTGGTTTGGCCTTGTTTTCCATAAACGCAGTGGTGTAAATTTCAGTACTGGATTGTCAGTCTATGCAGACGACATTTTTTCAAGTTATGTGCAGCAAGCTTATACCAGTAACCAGATTTCATATCTGCATCAAAAAAGTGATATTGCGTAAGACAGACATTTTTTCGCCTTAAACTATGTGAAATAAATGCTTACCTGTTTGAAATGCATTTTCATAGATGATGCAGGTAAAACGATCGTAAGTCTCTATCGGTACTATGTTTACACACACCAGCCCGATCTCGCGAGAACGAACGAGATATAAACAAAAGAACAAAACCGTCGAAATTCGGACCCTGTCGAATTTAGGACCTTCGACCATACTTTTGTTTGTAGTTCCTGAGTACAAAGTCCTACGTTTTCACATCGATAAAATATATATAACAAAAACGTTAATTCTTATTTTTCCAATAACGAAGTTTTAAAATTATTTCGCTGTGAAACCTCCATACAATTCAGCAGTTCTGTCCATGTGTTATGTATTGTTCAACTTTAATTTACGAAACATTCAATAAAATAAACTTACAAAACTTTTCGAATCCTGTTAAAGTCCACAAAAAATGAAATAAAAACAAGTACAATTTAAAAAGTTGTCCTTGACCATGTCGTCAGTGACGTCAAACGCTTAAAACGAGCCCAGCAGACCAATGGCACCCTTGATTTCCTCAGGTTTGTTTCAAGACAAGTTTGGAAAATATATAGCTCTCATCCTCAACCTCTGTTTATCACTCTTAAATGCATGAAAAAGCATTCAGAGACTGCCCTCTTTATGACTTGGGGCAGGTTTCGTTTCTCCTTTCTTGTAGTCGGGATTTCTAGTTCTTTTTCATCATTTTTTAATCATCCTTATCATTTTTGGAGATATTGCCAATATCCTAAAAAAACTTATAAATTTCGTAATTTGTTTTTAAGTACATTAAATACCAGAAGAATGGGAACATTCTGGATTTTTCCAAATTGCATCGGGGCTGTTGATGGAAAGCATATTACTATAAGAAATCCTGTGCAAAGTGGTTCCCGCTTTATAATTAAAAGGTATTATCGTCTACTGTTTATGGCTTCTGTTGATGCAGATAATACGTTTATAGACATTGGCTGCATTGAAAGAATAAGTGACTGGGGTGCTAGAAAACTCCACAATGTGTTTGCCCCGAACCGAAGCCACTGCCAGGTCATCGGAATGCTGTGCCTTATGTTATGTTGGCGATGAGGCTTTTCCCCTCAAACCATATCCATCAGGACAACTTGATTAACCTAAGCAAATCTTACTACAGACTCTCTACGGCGAGACTAATAGAGTAGAAAACGCGTTTGGCATCCTGTCTAACACTGGGTTCCGACGATGACATTTTTGCAATTTTTCAGACACTTACTGCATTGGACAAAGAAAAGGCTGAGGCTATGGTATTGGCAGTTTGTGCACTCCATAATTTTAAACGAAGAAGGATATGGAGATAACGAACAGTATTCAATATCAAAGTCCATAAAACAATACAAAATAGGAGCAGAGCAAATACGGACCTCCGAAACATCAGAGGTGGGATCAGGTGCCATGGAGAAGTGAGCATCCCTTCTGACTGGTCACACACGAACAAAGTCTCAGGATGTATATTTGCCCATTTTGAGTCAATATACAGCTCAATGCACTTTTTAAGCTCACATGGCTTTTCGCACAAATTAAGGTCACATTGTTATGATGTAAAATTGTGTATCGAGGCATCAAAATATATTTTAAAAGTATTTGTTTACATTATTTGAGTTTTACCGGGGGTATTTCATTTACTAAAACATAATTCATACATATCAATTGGTATAGAACTTTGATATTTTCATGGCTGAAAAATAACAACTAATCTCATTTGAATTCTTGTGGTTTTTTGCCAATTGCAACTGCCTTTTTATCCGTTCTTTCGAAAGCAATAGCTCTTTGCAGAAACGTAGACATGGGCACAGTTTAGCTACCGTTACTTGTATTTTCTGTACATTTTGACTCTGTAGCTCGGGGTGATAATAGTATTTTTCATCTGTTTGACTGCTTTCTATGTTAATAAGGTTAGATTTATCAGAGTCAACTTCTAAAATCTAGAATCATGAGAAATTCATCCCACTGCAAAATTCTAACCTTTCAAACCGTAAATGCAGAGGAATTTTCTTTTTCATAGAAGGAATTAACTATTCAAAAAAAAAATAATAATAAACAATACTTCATTATCCTACCCTTAAGTGTGGTTTCCTTTTGCTATGTTATCCCTTTTCGGCGCTACATTTCGACAAAACAAAGAGGAGTATGGTTAATGAACAATGAACAAAGAATTTTAAAAACTACTCACCTTTAAGAAGAAAATTTAAAAATTTCAACTACATGGTATCAAGGAAAGCTCGTTTTATACAATTTGTAAAAACTTATGGAAGAATCGTATAGTCGAAACATCGTACCATTTATTATAAATTCCCCTTAAAAACATCCGCTTCGGAAACTTAAGATAATAATCTTAAAAGACATCTATGCTTGAACATTATATATGTAATATAATGTAGGGTTATGTTATTGTACTGCAGTTCGAAAATGGTAATTTTTATTACAACAATGTGACCTTAATTTGTGCGAAAAACCATGTGAGCTTAAAGAGTGCGTTCAGCTGTATACAGATATAATTTAATATACATGTGTATTATTATATTGCAGTAACTTGATCCGAAGAGTCGTATCATGTGGATTGACAGGCGCGAATTATCAGATCATGACTTATACGTATGTTGCTATAGCACAAGGAAAAATAATTTATGAAAAGTTTAATATTTTTTGATACTACACAGCAAAATTCTTCCTTTTCTCAACTATTAAGACTGAAATTTAAGTTTGTGAACGTGCAATGGTGTGTCAATCAGACGCGTCCCAAAATTCGTTGTTAAACCCCCGCTCAGAAGGAGAGGGGGGTATACTGTAATACCCTTGTGTGTCTGTCCGTCCGTCTGTCTATCCGTAACAAATTTTCGTCGACGTTTTCTCAGCAACTACTCATCGAGATGCTTGAAATTTCGACACAATCTCTTCTGAGGCATGTCGTATGTTGGGATCCAATTTTGTTAAAATCTGATGTCAACTTCCTGTTTATCCTTGCGTCTGTCCGTTTCATTCATAACAAATTTTCGTCGCAGTTTCCTCAGCAACTTCTCATCGCAGACTTGGAATTTTGACAATTTCTGAGGCATGCTTAATGGTGGGACTCATTTCTATTCAAATCTGATGTAAACTTCCAGTGCGTCTGTCCGTTTCATATATGTTTCATGCATAACAAATTTTCGTTGCATTTTTCTCAGCAACTTCTCATTGCAGTTGCTTGAAATTTTAACACAATCTTCTCTGACATATGCCATATGGCGGGATTAATTTTTATTCGAATCTAATGTCCACGTCCTGTTTGTCCGTGCATCTGTCCGTTCATACATGTTTTACATATAATAAATTTTCCTCACAGTTTTCAAAGCAATACTCATCGCAGATGCTTGAAATTTTAAACCTAATTTTTTATGTATCTGATGTCAAATTCCTATTCATCTGTGCATATACCTGTAACGTTTATTAACATGATATTGTATATTCACATCAGAGCGGGGGTATTACTACTGAGCAGATTTCTGTAATGGTTATAAGCCGAAAACTGTCCATTATGTCAGATATTAGACGACCCGAGGCGCGTTAGCGCCGAGGAGAGTCTAATATCTAACATAATGGTCAGTTTGAGGCTTATAACTTACTTAAAACATTTCACCTCTGTCGAACACTTCCATTGTTAACTTATTGGACAGTCACAGGTAAGGTCTCGTTCTGCTTCAATACCCTTTTCTGGCACTGACCAATTAGTTGGCCTATTGTGTGTTGGATTTTGTTTGTCATGCGAAAAGTTAAACGTTAGGGATATTTGTCTGTGTTGTACACAATATAAAAACAAAATAATTAAATCCGCCTGGCCTTGAAATGTCGCACTGCGACAAACACTAGCCCCTTATTGGACACCTACAGGTGAAACTTATTGGACATCTACACTTATTGGACGGTGTGCAGAACAATAAGAAATTTATTGTACCGGGTTTAACAAAAGATGACACCACAAAAATGTTTTAATGTTTAAATATCAGTTCCAGGTTAAAATTTTCATTTTGTAAAATTGCAATTGTTTCTTTGTAAAAAGGCCGTTTGAGGTTTAGTGAAAAAAAATACCTTGGATTAAAAAGTTATAGAAGTCGAATTGTCAAAAAATTAATAACATTGAAACATTCTTATGCATCTTATGTGCTTCAAATTTTGAAACGTTTCTCCACTTTAACATTCTGGAGCCAGCTTCTCCATCGCGAACTTCCCTATCTATGTAGTAATGTTCCGCTATCACCTGCATACAGATTAACAACGCTTCGAAAGTCACTTTTATTAAGTTGACAACGGAATGAAATAACAGAAAACAAGTATATGATCATTACAACAAAAACTGTAATCTGAAGAATACCAGGAAAGTAACAGTCCTGAATGCTATCTGGTTTCGTTCCTTTAAAGGTACTTGGACACAGATTTGAAGTTAATATTTTCTCATTTTTTCTGTAAAATATCACG